GTTCAAGGTGGAAGTCTAGACTGCCATAATCTTATCCATTTAATACTCGCCCCTCATTATCTTCCCCTTAAAGTATTAACCCTACATACTCAATTATCCAATAAATGTGAAAAAATATTGTATATGTTTATTCTATTTATGAGAAATTAGAAGTTGCAGTATCCGATATCATTTATTCATTGAGTAAAGTTAATCGAAGAAACGTCTCTCAAAACGAACTATACAACTGTCCTTTACTATTTTTTTTTACATTTTTAACGCCCAAAAGAGAAGACCGTTGCGAGGTAAGTTTGTAAGATGCAAAAGAACATTAACCTTTGCTGTCAGACCAGCAACTGTGGTTGGATAAGGTAATTCTTCTATTTTATCATCTGTCATTGATCTTTGTTCCAAAATGGTAACAATGCCACCAAGGTTGGGAATGGGTTAGGGTTGGACGATGAAGCGAGTGACAATCTATAATCGATTATCGCAGACAAGAGCGATTTGTCTTTGAAAGACTTACGCTCCAGCAAACCCACGTAGCGTATTTCGCTGGTTACACATTTTGGGAAATTGTAAATTTTCCTCCCTTCTATAATCAGCCGGATTATATCTTAACGAATACTTGACAAACAAATATTTTACTTTAGTTGGTACTACAATCGTGCTTATTATTTATTTTAGAATATTCATTTGTGTGGCAAAACTCTTTTCTCTTTGAATCTCTTAATCAATAATCGATTCCGTTTATTTAAAAGTGATTCACTATTTTCTTCTTCGACAGCTTTTATCCACAAAATATTAATATTCTCTTCCCCCCTTGGTTAAAATCAGCACTGGCTAGACTACTTCTATAACTAAAATGTATACTTGGGGATAAAAAGCTATAATTTATTTCACAAAAAACCAAAACAAACTTGGCTGTAATCCAGGTTTTGAACCATCCTCCTAGTGGAATTAAATTGGCCTTTAGTTTTACTTGACTATGCATTGATTAAAACCACCACAATGTGATATTGTAAGTATTTAAAAAACGCATAAATCATTGAATCATTTGTAATATACTATCGTTTTTAACGATAAAGTTAGTCACAGGTAAGCATTAAAGCATGTCTTCAGTAAGTTGTTGTATATGCTGTGCACTTATTGTAATAATTTCTGTCATAGCGGTAAGTCTAAAGAGTGTGAAAATTTTAGATTGGATCTTTTGTTAGTATTACACGCCAGTTCAATTTGTACTATGGAAACACTATTATCGGTCTAAACCCCACAGAATTTGGTTGATATTCTAGAATTCGAACCCTCGATGACGATAATCGGCAAACTAGGAATGATGCATAATGCATTAGTTTTTATATTACAAATTTATTTTGTATGTCTATCATTAAATAAATGCAATTAATATCTACAAAATTTTGAAATTCTGCGAGTTGGCTATATTAAGGGGGGAGTTCACGCCAAAAATGGCCAAAATATGAATTTTTACAATTTTTTATTTTTTTATTTTTTTTTATTATATATTAGGCCTAAATTCTGAACATAAAACAGTTAAAAACAACCTTATACGATTTTTCTCTCATAAAAAATACTTTGAAATAGCACATTGTCAATCACTAAAAGCACCGTGTTTTGGTATTCGGTCGTTGCCAAAAATGGCCAAAATATAAATTTTTACAAAATTTATTTTTTAATTTTTTTATTATATATTAAATTCTGAACATAAAACAGTTAAAACCAACCTTATACGATTTTTTTTCTCATAAAAAATACTTTGAAGTTGCACTTTGTCAATCACTAAAAGCACCGTGTTTTGGTATTCGGTCGTTTTTCAAAAGTTTACTTTTTTCGCATGGGAACATAAATATCTCAAGTTCTATACTAGATAGAAGGATGAAACTTTTTAAATTTTGTTCAGTTTGACAATATCTACAATCTCTAGCATGGATTTATGAAAATAATGTCATTAAAATATTTAAAAAAAATAGTTTTTACCAGTTATTTTGGGGAAAAAATATTTCGAAATTTAAAAATTTACTGTAATTTTATTTTATATTAAAAAAGTATAGATAATTTCCTTAAACCCATGCTAGAGATTGTAGGTATTACTCTCAGAAACAGATTTAAAAAAACAACCCTCTATCACTTTTAAAACCTGAGAAATTTATGTTCTCGCAAACCCTTGCAATGCACAAAAATCCCCCCCCCCCGCCCTTGGGTAGCGGAAAAAAAAATTTTCCAGCTTTTTGCTGTATGTTTTATATAACTTCACCTTAAGGTGTAGTATGAGTAAAATTGGTTTGTAAATAAAGATTTTCACTTTTTATTTAAACTCCCCCCTTAACTATAGGAATATGTACTTGTTTAATTCCAAATACAACGTGAGTTAATAAACTCAGAAGCGTATAGTACTGGGAATGCGCAGTGAAATTCACAGAACAAACAGACGATATAAGCATCACTGAAAGTTTCACAAGGAAAACACTAGACGTGGAATAATTAGCTTAAAATGTCAACAAATCGATAGCTTCCTCAAAAACTCTTCCCTTCAGAATCAGAACTTTTTATTGCCGTTTGAAACTTAACTGCATAGAATAAAAGTCTCAAATTTTACATGTTCGTTAATTAAACCCCTTTAGATGTAAAACAGTTCGAGGAACGGGTAAATCAGATTAACTAACCATATTCACAAAGAGCTCTCTCAAAAACAGTTTGCAGTTCAAACAAATGGATGTAACATCGAGTTCAAAGGAACTGATGTCACAGGTGTACTGCTGAATGCAATTCAGCATGTATTTGTTTTTATTGAGAAGCGTTAATTTGTTGTTATAAATACTTCTACTACTAAAATTTATATAAACATTTCGCTATTGCTACTTTAATGTAAAAATGCAAAGCAATATACGAATCAGCCTAACTGTCGAACGAAGTATTTTGTTATTTTTCACCCAAATCCTGTTACGTTGTTCATTTTCAAATTCTAGTGTACCATTTTCGTGTCTACAACAATGTCTGCATGTTGCTCTAATTGTAAAATAATCATCGATAACTTTATAATTCATTGTCATTCCATTATTGACTCTACTCCATCAGCTGGAGAATGGTTGAATTACTTCACGACTGACAATACCTAGCTGGTGGAAACCCGTATAAACTTCAAACATCTTTTTATCCATGCGAATAAGACCATAGCTTCCTAGACGTATATGCTAAAAATCTTACTAAAAAAAACTTTTGCAAAACTTATGACAGCTAGCCTGGCCATACTACTGGACCGAATTACACGCGGTTGGTACCAAATGAAAGATATTTTCCTGAAGATGAGCAGAATCCCTTTACAAATTAAAATAGGCTAAAAAATAAGTACAAAAAAGAATTTTAAATTAAAAGAAAAAATCATGGGCAATATGGCGAAATAACAACAAAATATAAACAAAAATCCAAACAAATGGAAGAAATTCAAATCACATGTTTTATTTACAGCGTGGGGTGAAAAATAGAGAAGTTTGCATAACACCATTGACTAAACATACTTTTGGTCGAGTTTTTGACCACGGGGCGAGCTCTCGTATAAAACTAATCAAAATTTATCAACGGAGATTTGTAAAGAGCTTAAAAAGGTGATATTTTATTATGTTACTCTCTTATGACAAACATAATTGGCATTGATTAACGTCGATTTTAATCAAATTTAAATTTTGGTTTAATTCTTATTGAGGAATTCTTTGCACAACCCCGTATCAACTTATAACGTAGCCTACTGTATAATATCAATTTAGGTAACGTCACCGTAGCTCAACGTGCTGATAGTTAGGCTTTGCTAACCAATGGTAAATTAGATTGTACACTGAGGATAGACGTAACAATTAATTGCGTATCACTAACAGCAAGGTGTAATCAATAACCCACATACGCATGAAACTAAAGTTAAGAGTAGGAAGCAGTAATTTATATACTAGACTAGTAATTCACGTTGAGGCAATTATTTGTAATTTAACACGTTGGGTGCTGATGACGGGAATTCCCGCAATTGCTTAACATTGAAATAAATGCAACTTTTATGTTCAAACATGTCGATAGCACGAATAGTGTTAAACAGCGTTTCTTGAGTATCGTGATTGATTCAACACTACAGTCTAAATCGGTTAGAACTAATCAGTAAGAAGGAAACAATAATATAGGCACAGCTGGGTCAGACAGAATAGTTGACGTAATTATCTTTGATCAAGCGCTTGTAACAATATAGCTCTTTTGAGACAATGACAACCAAATAATTAATATACCAGAGTATATTTTAATTGGTGTCACACGTTTTTCATACAATTAATTATAAGTTATAATGATGTTTAATGAAAACATTTTGGAATCATTTTAATACATTCATAATAATTATCTTGAAAGTTCGTATTAAATAGACACAGTACGGTACTTTATGTATTTCATCACACATATTTAAATTATCCGAATTTGCAACATCCAATGAAGGTTGGGGATCACGGATTGAAAATACGGGTAATTTAATGGCATTCATTGAAACTGATCAACAATTTTTTAAGCTTAATCAGTGTATTCGTTTTTACGGATATTGAGTATTAAAAGGCATATATAAATGGTTTTTTATATTGTTATATAAATTTGAATGATCGACTAATCCATATATATATTTTTATAAATATATATTTTGGAAATATCCCGATGAATAAAGCACACAACCTAGGCCAAACCTAAATAGGTACTATTTCTGCTTGTATTATTTACGATTAACCCTGTTTGAAAGTCAAGATAATAAAAATCTGACCTGAATTGCATGAACATCGATAGTTTTACAGCGCCAATCTAATTTATCATATATATTTCCGTTTGTATACAATTTACCCGTTTGTCGGTCATTGGACATATTATACATGCACACGTTGGTATTTATTGAAAATGGAAATATCCAACGAAATTGATTACGGTCCTGGAACTAATAGTGTTACCTGAGTTTTACTCAGTGTTTCTAAACAAACCAAACTACATACCTGCAGATGGTCCAGTAGCGCCTCCAGTCCTCGGTCGCTGATACTCGAGCATCTCAGACTGAGGGAATGGACGTGTTTGGTAGCCAATGGGAAGTTGTGGACGACGTCCAGAGCGTCCTCGTCTGTAGCCCCCAGGAGACTCAGGGAGGTGAACCCTCGTCGCAGGAGGGACGCGTATATCCTGGCGCGGTCCTGGTGCGTGGTGTCGCGCATCTCCCTACACCGCACGACCGGCATCAACCCGGCCCAGAACCTGGGGGAACGGTACAGCAAGTCCCGCCACTTCACACACACTTGCGCTATAGTCCGTCGCTCCAGGGGGGTAAAGTAGCCGAAGAACTTGGTAAGGAAGCGATCGTCCATCAGGAGATCCTGGAAGGACTGCGGCTCCGGAAGGAGGATCTTCCTGACTGGTTGAGGAGTCGCATTCATCTTCCTGAACCTAGAAGGTTTGTCCGGGGGAACGGTGTTGTTTCCTCCGCAGAACACATTGGTGACACGTTCCATGACTGATGTTTTCCCCGTGGGCGGCTGGGTGATCCCATTGCGCTGGTGGTGTTTACCCCTGAGCCCCAGACCGTTGATGCGTTTGCTCAACTCGGCGCTGGCTCGTTCCACCACCCCTTGGGCCGACATGACGCTCACATCACCGCCACCACACACTACACTCTGCCACTGTGACTGAAGAGGCGTCCCACTGCTGCCAACTGTCCCGGGCACCGCGACGCCGCGCTGCTGCCAACCCCGCCGCGACTAATTTACCCTGAGATGTTTCTAGGAAACTAATTCATTTCCGGAAAATTTTGTTTTACAGTTTGTTAGGAATGAATGGAGAGGTTTTGAGGTGGTCTTAAGATATTACAAAGTTTTAAGAAGTGTTTTGAAAGCAATACTTTGTAATCAAAGATTATTTAAACAACGAAGATAATGGGCTACGCGTAAACAAAGGTGTATCACATAACCTAATACAGTTAATGAGATATTGATTACCTTAAATTATCATTATTATTATTTTACTTAAACCTATAAACACCCAAAAGATTCAAATATAAAACTAATAATTTTGAACTATGAATTGTATTACACGTTATCATTGACTTTTAAACACCTATAAAGTAGCCAGTGTAGTAAAATTAGGCCTACACGTTTTTACAACTCCCCGCACACATTCAATCAAATCGTACAAATAAATAATTTGGCTTTGTCGTCCGTTGCACTTGTGTTAAATTCAAAAAGTTGTTTCAGTTTCAAAGGGTTTCATTCAAATAACAATAACACATATTCAACTAAATGTAGGTCTATGCTTCATTTTAAATAATAATTTCTTGTGTACGGGAGTATTCGCAATTTAAATTCAAGATTCAGTATGATGAACATTAACATAACAATGCTACCAACACGAAAGTCCTCCTTTTTACTGGGGATGACATCCCTTAGCCCCGTTTATGGCCTGATCACCAGGCTCGTCCCCTGATGTTGTATTTATGAGACAGCTGTCTCAATCTCCTTAACGTTTCCGTCTCAAGTAAACGGATTCTCACGTTAAATGTTAAAGATTTTATTTTTTACTGCAGTGATTTGTAGCTTATTCTAGATTCTAGATATATAGAATTCTAGATGTTTAAAACCATCTAGAATTCCTTAATAACAAATTATTTTTAATTCTGCGAATTTTGTGATTAACCATTAATGACAAGATGGAACTTTGTAGCACCTTGGCCCTCGGTTAGAATTACCCATTCCATTCTTATGTTAAAGGTGTAACCACTTAAAGAATAAATATTTACGTTGTTGGCTAGAGCCGACGTCTGGGTGCACTAAACCATTGACTATACACCTCTACCTCTACTACTAGTAGAGGTGTATAGTCAATGACTAAACTACTTATTTCTACCAAACACGCCAACCTTAACGAAACAATACTGAAAGGATGGCTTACTGTAAGCTATGGCGTATATCACATAAACACTTAACTTCACTATAAGTTAGAACAAATAATAGTTCTTGAAAGTTAACTACAGCATACTCTGTGGGTGATTGATTTTTAACTGTAGTTTAAAAATTGGACACAGCTAGTTTTAAAGATGGGCTTTCATTTTCAAAATCCAATAATTGATCAATAACAAGGTAAATACCCTTGGACCAATAATGGTAAACCAAAGGTAACAAAATATAATACTGTACTACAAGGGGACCCATGCACGAATCTATTATATTATTAAAGTGATACAATCAAATTTTATGTAAACGGTTAAGGTCATTTACCAAATAAAGATAAAGGCACATCAAAATGAAGCTTAGAGTGTGTAGATTTGCCGAAAATTATTGGTATGAACAAATTTCATATGCGCTCAGCCCCACAGGCCAATATGCATTATTTAGTAAGAGGGTTATGTATGGTTTAAAAAAAAAGTTGTATAAGTTTTTGTAAAATATCGCTCAAAATTTCATTTTGTAATTTATATAGTAAGCTACATGTAAGAGGCTTGACTAAAATTGAAGAGTTGTGGTAAAACATGTCATTCATGAAGCATCAATATGAAGCAATCGATACTATTGCTACACTAAGGTATGTTGTAAAATTCTTTTGGCTCTATAAACATCAAAAGTAGGGATTTGAAAGTAAGTAGTAAGATTCTTTTAGTAAGATATTTTCAAATTAAATCATAGAGTTGCTGTATTTTTAAAACACACATCAGCACCACTTATACACTTTAATGGCTGTCAAGGTCACATTTTCTTCCCGGTGCAAAGCACGGGTATAGCAGCTTGTTGTGCAATTATAGGGTTCAATACTTGTTTACGAGGGAAAACGAATCCAAAATAATACCCTTCCTTTCACCTTTCTAATATAATGTTTGCTTAAGACAGGTGAATGTAAAACTACTGAACTAATTATTTTACAAAAGAATTCATTTTGATTTTGGATCTACATAAAAAGAGAGATTTACCTACTTCAATCAGGTAATAATTAAAATACCCTCGCTGCAGCAAACCTGCAGACCAAGCGAATTTCCATTTAACTGGCTAGATTTCTACTAAAATATTCCCTAAAAATTTTCAGATTTATTTCCTATTTAAATAACATTAATTTTAGTGAGTACTTAGGTTTGCTGCTACAGGGAAGATATTTAGGCTAGATGTGTTTTTTTATTACAGTGTCGATAGCTTAGTATTAAATAAACAAATTTCCAAATTTGGATTAAATATATCCATAAACAAGCAAACTACAATAGTTTATTTATTCTCCATAAGAATAACATGGGAATTTTAAATTTACATTTTTTTAAATTATCTCCGTAACCTTACAACAACTTACAACAACGCTTCAATAAACAAAATTATTTACTTTTTTAAGCTCAACAAAATGATTTGGAGAGAAATTATAAAATGTTGTGTTTTTAGGGTCAAAATGAAAAAAAAATCTATTTTTATCCCATAAAAATCCCCATAAACCCCCGTTCTTATAGTCCGATTATGCTGGTTTTAACATTTTTGCTCGAGTTATCGAGCTAACGGACACATATAGATATATATATCTGAATTTGAACGGATGGTGTTTTTGGCCTCTGGGGACCTCAAAACAAAAAAGTAAATCGGTCCCGAGTCAAGGTCTGACCATGAGACTTGCGGTAATAGCTTATTCCCTCTATGGGAAATTCGCTAAAAGATTACTGCATTTAAAAATCTATTTTCATAAACTCATTCGTTTCTTGTTTACAATATGACTGTGGTTAAGATGCCTTTTTTCGTTTGCTTCATGCACATTTAAAATTTTCTTGTTATCGTCTACATTCAACTGAAACATGAGCCGTGAAGTTACAATTCACAATAAACCCGTTAAAGAAAGTTTTTCAGCTTAACTGGGTCTCACGGAGCAAATTAGCGATTATGTATAATTATTTTAATAAATTTCTCACCTACGATATTTGGTCAAACTCGTTAACCATTACTTGAAACATTTCAAAAAAATAAACCATATTAAAAGCTACCAAATTTGGATATAGTCCAACGGCTGTGTATTTCTTATCATATTTGCCACCTAAGAAATTGGCATTCATGATGGTTAAAGATTTATTTGAAAATACATGTAATGCGGTTTGTTCTGGAACAAGAAGGAGTTCATTGAGGAAGCTCATATTGATTTGTTTGTCAGTGTTGCCATCTCTGGGACAAAATTCGGGCGCTGAAATTCCCTCGAGGTTCATTGATAACAACGGGCTTTGATTCACTCCGCTGTCCATTCTGACGAGTCAACGATGCGTGGAAAATACGAGTAATATTTTTCATTAAATCATTTTACTAGTAGAATTGTTTAAGTTATGTTTGTTAAGTTTGTAAAACAGTTTACAAAATTGTAATATAAACAAAATGTATTTAACACATAAGAATAGGGTTTGGAGGCATAATTAAAGTCTTTGGAGGCCAAATTGTTTGATTACGATTTGGATCTTCTGTGTGATATACTTGTAAACGAATACTTTTTCGATCAAACAGCTAGTCTGCCTTTTGAACTGTAAAACTCTATTTTAGAACAATATTTTAATGAATAAGTAAAACAATTTGTAAGTACTCTTTTTTAATGTTATAATTAGGGAATAGATCTGAAGATGTTAGGAAAAATCTTTTTATAAAATACAACCAGGAAAATGAAAATTCACTTAGTCTGCAGGTTTGCTGCGGCAGGTTTGTTTCATCAATATTCTTTCAGCTTATAAACTATTTTAAAAACGGAATCGCTTTATAAAACATTTTTGCCCGAATCTATTAGCTATCTGCAAAATATAATGATGTTTTTCTCTTGGCTGAAAAAGTTTAAGCATGCAATCATTCTTGCCAATCGTACGCATAACCATTCCTTTGCCTATTTAATTTCTACTAACCTAATTGACTTATTTTACCTTTGTGCTTCAGATATTCTTGATAGCATTCTGCATTGACATGAGCACTACGAATTTCGTCCACTTATCATAACAATCGCCAGATAAATTAGGTCTTTGTAAACAGCAATTATAAAAATTACGGGAATAAGAACAAGAAAACAGTAAACACTTCGTTATCAAGCAACCCTAATTACCTCAACAAAGCCCAAGTACATAGCAGAGATAACACGGGTTATGCGTTAGATGAAGCTGTGGTCCACTGTGAAAACATGCAAGGTAAGTCATTTGGCGTTTATTTTAGTTGTTTTTTGTTTCAAAAATATTTAACATTTGCTATATTTTCCAATTATGATACAATGCGAAAATATACGACGTAAGGCTTTATTTAGCGTTGTACTTTTGGCTTGAATAATCTCTCAAACACTATATGCGATATGTTGATGCGTTACAACTAAACGAAAGGGGTTTTGACCTCTGTTAACCCAAAACGAAAGAAGACCATAAATAGGGCAATGTTGAACACAGCGATCCCTGGCCTCTACAGTGTGTATACGGTAAGTTGGCGCACGGGCCTATAAGCTACCCAGGCAGGTTATTATCTCCCCTCGGCGGTAGTGGCCGTTTCCGAGAAGAGTGACAAACTGGTATCTCCTATACAAATTACAATTTTTAGTCTATCTTCATATAAATATAAAAGTCTTAAAATACAAGAAACTAAGAAGATTGATATGAAACACGATGAACGTATTTGTATTTCGATTTAAAATAACAACGTTAAGCTGAAAAAATAACAAACTTCGGCCATTTTTAAATTGTTTAATGAAATCCATCGTGTTTTAAATCAATCTTCTTAGTTTTTTTATATTAGTAGTTTATGGATATTATACTTATATGGAGGTATTATCTATATAAATAAAATTAGAGTTTTGTCTGTACATTGCTCAGAATTATATATTTTTAGGTTATTTTTACGTCTTATACATTAAATAAGCAGAAACGAGTCTTATCTCAATTTCTGTCTGTCTGTCTTTCCCTTTGTCTGTAACACTCAAGATGACATTTTACGCTATCTTATCCTGGAAAACGAGAGTACCTATCAAGATCCAAGTCATTTTAATGTATTCACTGGATTGGCGAGATTGTCTTTAGCCATTAAAATATGGCCTCACTACTTTGTAAATAATATTACGAACGTTCAAAAATGTAGTTTTGTGCGATATATGTCAAGTTTTCGTCCAATTTTTATTGCATAATAATCATCTATGAAATAACGAACAGCTGTTCGGATCAAGATTATTTTTCCTAGCTGTCACTGATATGTTTACAAATGTTGTTTACAAATACCGCAACCTTTTTCAATCACGTTTTGAATGTAAATCCCAAGTGATTAAAAACGTTTTTCTTACATAACGGATTTAATTAATCGAAAGTGCAATAATATAGTGTAATATAGTGTAACCGTGTAAATGAAATTAAATAACTAGGCATCATCCAGTTCAGGAACCAGAGATTCTTTGTGTATAAATTGTTCTTGAGTTTTGATAACCAGAAAGAAGACCTTGAATCAGTGTTGTATACGGCTGGGAAACTTTAAATTTAATAATGATCGTCGCCAATGGCTTAGAAATATGGTTTCCACTCATTGACACGGCGCTTCAATGGCGGTTGTGTAAAGTGGTAAGTAAAAAATCACAACTGCAGTGGTTGATTGTAACAGAGGTTTACGGATGATGCTAAACTCGCTTTTCTAATGTGTTATTTTCTGTTCCTACCATTGACTATATATATATAGTCAATAGTACCTACTCACCGTGTGATGCAATCGCTGGACCATACAGCCATGCTCTTGGGTACGTACGCCTACCCAATTATTCATAACAAACTGTTCGACGACGATCCTTGATACCGGTACTTTTCCCTAGAATACACGTCCTACCTACTTAAGAAATAAAATTACAAACGTCCAAAAACCCAACGTTGTGTGATTTTTGTCACATTTCCTTCTAATGTTATTAGATAGCCTTTACCAATCATTGTTTAGAGAATAGGTACGTAGGGCCTAATCTATTAAATAACAAAAAGTTGTTTGTATGAGGTTGTTTTTTTTTTAAACTGACACCGATAAGGTTACATTAAAAGTTGTTTACAAATAAAGCAATTATTGGGAAATAACTTTGATTGCCGTTTTAAAACGTTTTACGAGAAAATCAAAAACCAAGAGATCAATAACCTCGGGACTTGATTAACTCATATAATTGGTCGGCTGTACTATAGTTCTCAACTGTGAACGTTGGTTTTTGGTACCGGTTCTATTCCTTATAACCGTTGGTACTGTTGGTAGTAGCAAGAATCATTTTTAAGTACCAACACATCACTGTACTTTACAAATTAGTTATCGTTGGTGTTGCACCTTATTTATTATTACAGGCGTATTCAATTTAATTGATGTCTTAACTGTACAATTTTTGCTTTTTCTTTCTTGATTCCAAAATGTTAGTTTATGCTAAGAAAACGATAACGCACTATAGTAAAACATTTATTCAGCTAACCATAATGAATTGTTTAAACGCTTTACGTTGTTTATGTATCAATAGTTCGTTGGTAATATTTACTATAAATTACCAGGCTGGACCACCCTGGACCAGTCGTCTTCATTTCATATAGGTAGTAAGCCGTCATTTCGGGTCATCATCGGTCCAAGCAAATATACATTGTTATGATGAAATTTGATGACATTAACAAAATATTTTAGATAGTAATTTTACAAGTACTTTGTTATGCTTAAAGCGTAGCAAACCCCCTAATTAAGTTCTGTATTTTTGTGTGTATGTCTGTTAGTAAAGCATTAATGTCCTTATTTCTCAGTGTTTCACGGAAAGGACAAAAGTACCTTTATAATGAAAATGTCAACACGAATAAAGTGTTAAATTGGGAGGTTGAAGTAGTACCTTAAATACTTTTAACCATTGTGGAAGGTAACTTTCAATTATAGGCCTACATTTGGGCTATGCCTCATAGATCTATAAAGCATTTTTTAGTTTAATCATTGGATTTAACATATGGACCAACACGACCCAGGTTACATTTAATTTCGAAGCATTTGTTTTGGCTTGAAACTGTCAGATACTGTATTTGCGAAGGTTTATCTACTGTATAATAGTTTTGCCAGCATATCTGAAAATATGCAAACCAAATTCTGTTCTTAATAAAAAGGTTTCAATAACTGACTACAATAAGATCCCCGTGCGTAGAACGGGCACACAGCTAGTAAGAAATAAACATTTTTTCAAATTGTATTGGAGGTGCTAGTTGGTCACTCATCTAGGAAACGGCCACGAGTGCCGAGGGGATATAATGACCGGGTGGCAGGCCCGTGCCCCAACTTACCGTATACACACTCTGTACGTTTATAGACTACCATCACGATTACTACCATTGCAACATACACTTCCCTATAGAAAATTGCTAGGGAATCACAAGTTCATTCCCAACTATGAGTGGTTTAATTGCCTTAAACGAAAACAAAAAAAAAATATGAATCCATGTCAATATTGTTTAAAGGAATAATTAATAAGGTTTCCATTGTAAAAATATAATAGAAGTTTACTGACGTTTCGGGATCTAGAATCTGACTCCGTCTTTAGGTGTGAAAGGACTGAGAAAACAATAATATCAGTACAGATGCGAAACATTTCCGGACATACAATAGCTGAAAAAATAATGTATAGTGCATTCAACTATAAAAAGTACGGTAAGCAGGAAGGAAAAAAAGGGCCGTGACTAAGTTCCATAAACGAATGTCACGACTCATGTTTTTTTTTCAAGTGTTTTTCCACCGGTGCCCTGACTCCCCAGTGAACAGCTGTCTGCTCCGAGAGTTCTTCTTACTCTAGCCTCCCCACCTGTCAATGTTCAAGTGCAAGTGCAACTAGTGCAAGTATAGATCCCTATGATGGGGATGGGCCTAAGGGCCTAGAGGCTCTGGCTCTGTGATGGAGAATGAGTAAACATCATTGATTGTTTTTTCTATAGTGACAAATCTTTATGCACTTTTAAAGTAGTTGTTCTTTTATTGGTGAAGTTTATGATGTTTGATTAAGGGGGCCACAAAGCGCCTGATGATGGGGCCCCAGAGGAGAGTCTGCACTTTTTTGAGTGGCGGGGAGGCTACTTACACCCTGGCTACCCTAGTACCTTCTGCTTCATAGCCTTGGCCCCCTATCCGCCCTGGTTTGTCACCCCTCTGGTGCTGTTCACCCACCGGAAACCCCTTCAAACCAAACCGTCCTGCTGCATTAAAATTGCATGTATATTGTTGTTTGTTTTTGAAATGTTTATTTCAGCTGTTCATCTCAAACAGTGGCTTGTTTATCCACGGTTTTTCTTGTTAGGTAGGACTATGAGCCACCCCTCCGCCTCTGCCCATGGGAACATGCTTCCAATTTTGTTCTCTGGTATGCAGAGGTGGATGGTATGGAATACCCTCCACAAAAGGGGAGTCCAGGGAAACATTTTTGCATCAATTAAAGTGAAAATCACTTTGTACAGTATCTTTTAATGAATTTTCCGATTATATTTGCTTGTAAATAGTCCACAATCTTACTTAATTACGTATTCTAGAACGTTGAACAGGTTAAGGCTCTCTCTCCAGTCTCCACAACCTCTTGGGCCAAAATCATAGCTCAATTTCAAAAGTGTACTAGACTGCAAACATTAAACAATTTGTGAACACAAACATGTTTAAAATATCCATGTATAACCTAAAACTACAATATATATTTTCACTTTTTAATTTTGGACAGGTTAAAATCATATTCTGTCATAATTATTGTTACAGATAATTACAGATTTATGTATAAGTATGAGACAAAAAAAATCTGTAGGTAATGATAATTATGACAGAATATGATTTTTACACAACATTTACACAATGTTATTTTTTAAATAGGCTACTTTTAAAATTCCCATATATTTAAAATGTGAATCATTTAAAAAAATATGCCGGCACCACCCATAGCCACTGGGCAAAAAAATCTCAGCACAAGTGTTGCCCATGTTAACATGTTATTTTATGCACTGCCCTCCCCCATATAACACAGCATAACACTATGCCAAACCCCCTCCCCACCCCCTAAGCGAGTTACGTAATATGTGTATGGCCCCGAAACAGGTATTAAACCAATTTCGTATTAAAAGTAACCCGGAGGCTAACATAAAAAATTATATACATTAATATAATTATTAGGGTATTGCGGTGAGTTTGGTTTTATAAAACGCTGATAGGAAATGTTAGCGAAGCTTCCCAACCTTGCCAGTAATAAACAATAAACATTATTAATGACCGACTGCTGGAGTAATTGTTGTTTCAGTGTGTGGGTGCCTACCTTGTGTGCCCAGAAGGTACATGATATGCCTGCTGTGCTTCCTAGGATTGATGATAACCTACATGATGAGGTTCTGTATCAGCTTAGCTATCACGGAGATGGTCAAACCTCACGTTAGAAATATCACCTCAACTGTGCCCGGTCATGTACAGTCCTGTCCATACGACGACAACAGGATACAACACACATCAGTGGATATGGTAGGTAAAGTCAATTTGCGTGTGTTTTGTATGGATCAACGTAATAGTTTTAAGCTAAGCGAGAAAAGAGATAAATGTTTGAAAAAAGTAATTAAATATAAAAGTTGCAAAAAAATTACTTTACACTAATTAAACTTAGCCCAGCATGCAATTAAAGAAATTGTTGTAAAATTTATCCTCAGCTATGACACGAGTTCAAGCATGTTTTAGGACAAAGGAGAATTCGAGTGGAGTGAGCGCACACAAGGGCTTGTATTGAGTTCGTTCTTCTGGGGCTACGTGGTGACCCAGGTGCCGGGAGGTATACTAGCAGAGAGAGTGGGTGGGAAGTACACCCTAGCGTTCGCGTTGCTGCTACCAGCACTGTGTACTCTAGCAACACCACTGGCAGTCTACTGGGGCGGCGTCTGGGGTCTCATAGTGCTCAGGATAATCATGGGCTGTGGCCAGGTAAGTGTACTAGCAGAGAGAGTGGGTGGGAAGTACACCCTAGGGTTCTCATTACTGCTACCAGCACTGTGTACTCTAGCAACACCACTGGCAGTCTACTGGGGCGGCGTCTGGGGTCTCATAGTGCTCAGGATAATCATGGGCTGTGGCCAGGTAAGTGTACTAGCAGAGAGAGTGGGTGGGAAGTACACCCTAGCGTTCTCATTACTGCTACCAGCACTGTGTACTCTAGCAACACCACTGGCAGTCTACTAGGGCGGCGTCTGGGGTCTCATAGTGCTCAGGATAATCATGGGCTGTGGCCAGGTAAGTGTACTAGCAGAGAGAGTGGGTGGGAAGTACACCCTAGCGTTCTCATTACTGCTACCAGCACTGTGTACTCTAGCAACACCACTGGCAGTCTACTGGGGCAGTGTCTGGGGTCTCATAGTGCTCAGGATAATCATGGGCTGTGGCCAGGTAAGTGTACTAGCAGAGAGAGTGGGTGGGAAGTACACCCTAGCGTTCTCATTACTGCTACCAGCACTGTGTACTCTAGCAACACCACTGGCAGTCTACTGGGGCAGTGTCTGGGGTCTCATAGTGCTCAGGATAATCATGGGCTGTGGCCAGGTAAGTGTACTAGCAGAGAGAGTGGGTGGGAAGTACACCCTAGCGTTCTCATTGCTGCTACCAGCACTGTGTACTCTAGCAACACCACTGGCAGCCTACTGAGGCGTCGTCTGGGGCCTCATAGTGCTCAGGATAATCATGGGCTGTGGCCAGGTAAGTGTACTAGCAGAGAGAGTAGGAGGGAAGTACGCCCTACCGTTCTCATTGGTGCTACCAGCACTGTGTACTCTAGCAACACCACTGACAGTCTACTGGGGCAGTGTCTGGGGTCTCATAGTGCTCAGGATAATCATGGGCTGTGGCCAGGTAAGTGTACTAGCAGAGAGAGTGGGTGGGAAGTACACCCTAGGGTTCTCATTGCTGCTACCAGCACTGTGTACTCTAGCAACACCACTGGCAGTCTACTGGGGCAGTGTCTGGGGTCTCATAGTGCTCAGGATAATCATGGGCTGTGGCCAGGTAAGTGTACTAGCAGAGAGAGTGGGTGGGAAGTACACCCTAGCGTTCTCATTACTGCTACCAGCACTGTGTACTCTAGCAACACCACTGGCAGTCTACTGGGGCAGTGTCTGGGGTCTCATAGTGCTCAGGATAATCATGGGCTGTGGCCAGGTAAGTGTACTAGCAGAGAGAGTGGGTGGGAAGTACACCCTAGGGTTCTCATTGCTGCTACCAGCACTGTGTACTCTAGCAACACCACTGGCAGTCTACTGAGGCGTCGTCTGGGGCCTCATAGTGCTCAGGATAATCATGGGCTGTGGCCAGGTAAGTGTACTAGCAGAGAGAGTGGGTGGGAAGTACACCCTAGCGTTCTCATTACTGCTACCAGCACTGTGTACTCTAGCAACACCACTGGCAGTCTACTGGGGCAGTGTCTGGGGTCTCATAGTGCTCAGGATAATCATGGGCTGTGGCCAGGTAAGTGTACTAGCAGAGAGAGTGGGTGGGAAGTACACCCTAGGGTTCTCATTGCTGCTACCAGCACTGTGTACTCTAGCAACACCACTGGCAGTCTACTGGGGCGGCGTCTGGGGCCTCATAGTGCTCAGGATAATCATGGGCTGTGGCCAGGTAAGTGTACTAGCAGAGAGAGTGGGTGGGAAGTACACCCTAGGGTTCTCATTGCTGCTACCAGCACTGTGTACTCTAGCAACACCACTGGCAGTCTACTGAGGCGTCGTCTGGGGCCTCATAGTGCTCAGGATAATCATGGGCTGTGGCCAGGTAAGTGTACTAGCAGAGAGAGTAGGAGGGAAGTACGCCCTACCGTTCTCATTGGTGCTACCAGCACTGTGTACTCTAGCAACACCACTGACAGTCTACTGGGGCGGCTTCTGGGGCTAAAGAGTTAAAGAGGTTATCTGTAAGAAAATAAAAATAAAGTCAATAAAAAGTATGAGGTTAACTGTAAGAAAGGATACATCATCCTTAGTCTTAGTTCGCCTCAATTAAAATTGTTTTCATTAAATTTTCATTCAATTTCAATTAATTATAGTTCTGTTTAGAATTTTTTGGGAGATGTAAGCGCATACTTTAAAAATAAATAAGTTTAAAATGCACGCAATGTATTTGAGTGTTAAGTAAATGTGAAAAATATTAAATTTCCTAGTACAATCTATCTTGAGGCTAGATGGTTTATTTATGGTTTACAGTTATCAATGAGAAAGGTGGAACTCTGAGTTCATTATACCTGGTTTAATGTAAAGTCCTGCCCAAGTTTTATCACAGTCTATGGCTTGGCTGAGGCACGTTTTCAAAGCTATATCAACATATGTACAGTAATCATATATCAATGGTGTTACAGGGTTTTGTCTATCCATCCCTAAATGCTCTCCTGGCTAAATGGGTAGCAGAAGAAGAAAGGGGAAGGCTGGGAGCCATGGTATTTGCTGGTAAGTAAATTTTTGCTCCTCCAGTCACAAATTTGTTCATGATAATGTTTTGGGAGGGCGAGGGGGCAGTCGTTAAAGATTTTAATATACATTTTTTTAACCAATACTTAAAATTCCATGTGAAGCTGATTCATTACTGAAAGAGAATTTTTATTGTATTATGTGGTTAGGCTCTAGAGCATAATTCATCTCCTACAAGTATTAGAGGGCTGAACAGGTTGGCTAAAAAAAATACAGATCAGTATCAAATACACTGTCTGCCTCGCTCTCGCTCTCAAACAACACACTCTTAGGAGTAAGCAGGTTTCTAACTTCACTTTCTGAAGATGTACGGCAATAGAGAGATGAAAAAAGAGACTCAAGTTCACAATCCGACATTTTTTGGTTCCAAGGAATTTTACACTGTAAGTTTATCTCCTTGATGCCATTGGATATAGGCTATACAAACCTAAGGCTGCTCTGGGATTTTGCGTTTATAGGTATGAAGGAGAGTGAGTAAATGTTTTTATTGTGTATTCAACCCTAATAGAGTCCTTGCGATGTTGTTAAATCTCTCTCTCTCTCCCTCTCTCTCTCTATCTCTCTCTCTCTCTGGCAGTAAGAGTATGAAATTACTCCAATTCTAAATTTAACTCCAGGAGCGAATTTCGGCAATGTAGTCTCCATGAGCATGGGTGGGCTTCTACTCAGCTGGATGCACTGGTCTGTGTTGTTCTACACATACGGAACTGTGGCTCTACTGTGGCTCTGGGTGTGGCTGCACTGTGGATATAGCAGACCTGAGGACCATCCAGGGCTGACTGACGGGGAGAAGCGCTACTTGCAGAAATACTGGGCCAAGGTCAACATGAAACAGGTGAAAGCCAATTATCGGTAATATTGGTAATAATTTCTTATGTCTTTAAACCAGTGGGATTTTGAATTTGTAAGGGAATCATCAATGCCCTGGTCTTGTTACTATCTAATATTTAGACCTTTTATTGGATAGCATTGTGATAGCCCAATGGCAAATGGGAACTGGGATTCAACCCTGCTTAAGGTTGAGCAATCTTCAGATTTGAAATTGAGCACTAAAACCATTCGCTTACCCAGAATATGTGTACTAATACAGTTGAACCTCGATAACAAGGGCCATTTTCAAATCCCCCTCTAATGTAAAAGGTTCTACTGTATAGTAAACTTTTACACCAATAATGATAAGCAAATGACTTTGAGAATGGGTAGTTTGCCTTATCATTGCATGGTGAGATCTTGTATACTATCATCTTACAGCAGATAATATATTACAACATTTATTTATTTTTGTATTAAATACAAAAAGTCAACCACAAAGTGTGCATATATCAGGAACAATATTTTTATGATGTCTTTTGCATGTATATCTCATCAAATATCACTCAAAATACAACTTCATCAAGGAGCATTCAAAATAAATTTTGACTACAAATCTTATAAAATAATCATATAAAAATGTTGACTAAAGTCGCCAAAATCCTACATATTGGTAAAGAAAGTATCATAGTCTTTATATAGGGACTAAGCTAAGAGTTGTAGTAGTATTAACTATATTTTCTTTGCCAGAAACTGCCCCCGACCCCGTGGCGACACATACTCACATCGGTCCCTCTATGGGGACTTGTGGTAGCTCAGATAGGCCATGACTGGGGACTGTTCACCATCGTCACAGACCTGCCAAAGTATATGAAAACTGTCCTTCACTTCTCCATTGCCCAGGTTAGTCTATGATAGGTCTACTCAAATACCAAGACTTCATACGCTCTGTGTGTCCTTTTATTCGAGCCAGAGAAAAGTGATGGTTCTGTGCTTACTTTGATAGAGACATCTCAAGTCCAGTTCTGTACTGAGTTTGATAGAGACATCTCAAGTCCACACATTAACGTGTATTATTAGATGTGTTACTCTCAGCTGAATCTTCTATAGCACTTTTACTTTCTCCCTCTATGTAATAGTATATGGAGAAAGTATTGTTTTTTCAAACTTTTTTAAGTTTGTTTTTTAAGTGGTTATTTCGGTTTTTAGTTTCCCTGAACCCAAATAGTTGTTTTCAAAGTCTGGAATGTGGGTGTGTCTGTATGTGTGGATGTGTACAGAGCTTAGAGACCACACCTGTGGTCCGATTTTGATTAAATGTGGTATGTGGGTAGGTACTTATCTATTGTATCTCCTGGCGTTTTTTATACACTTTTTATGGTGATTTTCTCATAAAGCCCCACAAAATAAGAGAAAAAATTAATTACACACAAAAACGACCCAAATGTTTCCGATTAAAATGTAGTATGTCATAGTCCTTTTGATTATAAACAAATTTGTTAAACCCCCTATTTCTGTAAAAATTATGGTTCAAAAGTTATTATAGTTTATGTGTCTTTCCCATAAAACCTCAATAAAAAACGCAAAAATAGGATTTTTTTAAACGTTACTGCAACGTTTGTGACTTTTCCTATAAAATATCATAGTGCACTTATTGTTAAGAAATGTTTTTATTAAGTTATATTATAGGATAAAGAATGCTTTTATTTATTGATTTATGCCTCATGGGCGCTGGTCCTATGCATGGAACGTTTTTAACAAAACAAGGAGTGAGCCAGTGTACAGTACAATGACAAAATGTAATGATGATTATTATCTATTAGCCTACCGGGATGCGAACCCGCAACCTTGTTGCCGGGAATTTGTAGTTTGCCATGCTGCCAACTGAGACCAACTTCAATCAATTGATTATTGATTTTATTGTACTCAATCATACAATATGGATTGTGTTATTTAACCTATGTATTTAATCATAAAAAGGAATTTCATGAGTAACTTTACATTAAGTTGGTAAAACTAAAATTAAAGTGTTTAACTAACACCGGAAGACTAACTATTACTGTCAAATATATATACTGTTTTGTTCTAAGTATTCTTATATTAATTTTTAATTTTAATGCACTCTAATAATATGTAACTGATTTCACCACAATCTCCATTTAAATACCATTTCAAATAGTTAAATGTTTTCCTCATAGAGTGCATCAGTATCTTCAAACCCCAATGGTTTCAAGACTAGCTCTCTGATTGGTCACTGATATGTATCACATGACCAACTCCTTCCTTCAGTAGAGTAGTGGCACACTCTTGGGCAAGTCCTGTTGCTATGAGGACTTAACATGCCTTTTCTCCTACATTTTCAAATACCATAAACCTCTTTACCAACATAAATATTTACCGCTGGCTTATAACTTATTATAAAGACAATTGAAGTGTTTTTTAACATCATATAGTGTGAAAAAGTGAACTTATCAACATTATAGCATTTCAGGATTCATCAAAGGGGGCCCCCAGTCTACGCATCAGTTTAATAAGAAAAGGTTAGTGTACCGGTATCCAATTCAAAATAACTATAATACAGTCCACATTGCTTTCAAATTAACATAAATTCCCCACATTTTTGGTACTTCGAGCTGGACGGATAAACTCAGTGCGTTGGAAATATTTAAAGAATTGTTAAGATTTAATTTCATTGTGAAATACATTTTTTATTTTATCACAAACACATTTTTATAATTTGTGAACATTTATTAAATAAGCCAGTGTTGTTTTATTGATTTTTTTAAATCATAGGACATTGTACTATATATTTTCAAAATCAAACATATTTAAGTTTGATGATTTTTCATATTTCATTTCCAAACATGCACAAAAGTGAAAGTCTAGTTTCATGTCCAATTTTAAATATTCATGATTATATCTCAGCCATTTCATGAGCCTTATCTCTAGCAGACATACCCCCCTTCCCCTCTCAGCATTCTGTTTGCATTCCAGGATATTCATTGTGTAGCCAGAAATAATTATCCTTCCTTTCCTTGTTCTGATTATCTACAAATGTTATTGATTCTCATCTATCACGAAAACAGCTGATTGCTTTGTACAGTAATATTGTCGATTGATCATTATTGTATTAAATGATACTTCTGGAACTTCTGGAAAGAAAATTAAAATGTAAATAATTTAGTGTGATTTTATATTGCAAATACTTTGCAAAATAAGTTATTGAAATTTCTAGTGAAGAAATAACTTTAATTTATAAATTCCAAGGTGGAGTTTATACAGACCTTTTGAGTTTTATTGTGTGTTTGACTATTCTATTCCAAAATGAGATTTTTATCTTTTGTCAAGCAAAGTCAACTTATTGAACAAAGACTTAGTAGTATTGACAAGCAAGTTACAACATTAAGTACTGTTCAAGCCCTTGAATCTTTAAATGATCAACAAATAAATAGAATAAAGTTACTTTCAACTGCAGCTTCTCAAAAACATGCAGAATTTGAAAAAATTGTTAATAAGTTGTTCTCTACAACTCCCCTACCTGGGGCCCATTTCATAATAAACTACAAGTTACAAGTTACAACTTGTAACTTGTAATTTCCATTAGATTTGCATTGGGCGATCAGCTGATTTACTAATAATATTAGTTTGTACTTTATTATGAAATGGGCCCCTGAAGACATCGTAGATGAAAAGGTAACCGAACTTCAAGATAAAATATCTGACCTGTACATAAATATTAGTAGCTTATGTAGCACATTAATACCTACACCTGCAGTATCTGAGCAATTGAATCAGTCCACCGCTAGTTCAACAGCACAAGCTGTGGCTGTACCTCCGACAATAAAATTGCCTTCATTGGATTTAGGTAAATTCTCTGGTCAACCAGACCAGTGGATGTCGTTTCATAGCATATTTGAAAATGCAGTTCATACTAATGAGTCACTCAGTAACATAGAAAAATTTACATATTTGCTATCCTGTCTCTCAGATGAGCCATTGAGTTTGGTGAAATCTTTGCCTCTTAACGCTGCGAACTATGCTATAGCATGGCAATCTCTGATAGATAGATACCACAATACAAGGTTGCTAATCACTCTTCATACTAACAATATCTTAGATTTGCCTCAACTTACTAGGCCTACTGTCAAACAATTGCGGAAATTTCTCTCAGTTTACAATGAAAACTACCAGGCCTTAAAAACTCTCGGTCATGATATTGCTAATGAAAGTTTGCTTTTGACAACGCATATTTTGCGTAAATTTGATTCTGCTCTCCGCACTAAGTTTCAGCACTCACGTAATGACTCAAAAAAGGTCCCTACTATCAATGAATTAATTCTTTTCTTGGAAAATAAATGTACACAAGAGGAGGCTGCGGAGTTAGCTTCTGTTTCGAACAAAACATTTTCACCAAATGAAAATAAGAGCAACCACCCAATCAAATCTAATTTTGCGAATAAGGCTAAAACTAATAGGGCTAATGTTGTATTGTTGTCGTCTAACGACAAAGATCGAATGCTTAAATGTATTTATTGCTCCGCTACTACTCACATAGTATTCAAATGTCCTAAATTTGGGGGCATTAATACTAAAGACAGGTTTGACTTCATTAAGAGTAAAGACTTATGTGTAAACTGTTTTGGTATGCACAAACCTAAAATGTGTAAATCTAAACAGAATTGTCTTACTTGCTCAAAACGACATCATACTCTCCTGCATTTTGACCAGGCTCAAACAAGATTGAATGAAGCAAACACTGATCCCTGTACAAGTAATGTTAAGTCCCCTGATCATGTCAATCAATCGAATACTCTTATGGGTTTGGCTCGTACTCAGAATAATACTGTATTGCTTGCAACCGCTTTAGTGAAAGTTTCTACTCACAAAGGAAACGGTCTCGTTTTGCGTGCTGTTTTGGATAGCGCCTCACAAACCACACTTATTTCAGAAAGTTGTGCAAATATATTAAATGTAAAACGCTCTGCTGTTGGCGTCCCTGATATCAAAGGAATTTCTGTGGCTAACATAAAGCCTAAAGGTTTCACACATCTGAATATCTCTTCCCTCAGTGGGTCAAATTTGGCCTCTTCTCATCCTGTTCTTATTCTTGATCAGATTACAAGTAACCTGCCTCGAGTTCAACTCTCACCCTTCATCAAAGCTCAACTGAAAAAATACATGCTAGCCGATCCAACCTTTGACTTGCCAGGTCCCATTGATTTATTGATAGGAGCGGATCTATTCCCTCAAACTTTACTTGAGCCGCCTGTAAGTATGGGAGAAAATTTACCCTTCATTATGAGAACAATTTTTGGCTTTGTTGTGCTTGGTGCCGCACCTATTGCTCCCTCCAATCAACCGCTTCAATTTAGTGGAATATCCACTCTTCTCTCAACTAACGACTTAGATCTTCATGCTACTCTTCAACGATTCTGGTCAATTGAAGAACCGCCTCAAACTTTGAAAATTTCGCCAACTGATGCAGAGTGTGAAAAACATTTCCTAAACTCACACTCACGTGACAATACCGGTAGATATATCTGTCGTTTACCGTTTAAGGAATCTCCTCAGAAATTGGGTCTTTCAGCACCTGTAGCTAAACGTATGTTTAACTCACTTGAAAATAAATTTGCTGCTCAACCAGACTTCAAGATGAAATATGTTGAATTCATGCAAGATTATGAGGCTTCTGGTCATATGGAAATTTGTGAATCAATTCCGCCCTCAGACGAACCTCACTTCTTCCTACCTCATCATGGTGTTTTTAAAGGAGACAAGCTAAGAGTGGTTTTTAACAGTTCGGTCCCAACTTCTACTGGAATCTCGCTTAACAGCTTACAACACCAAGGCCCAAAACTGCATAACGATCCCACTGATATAATTTTTCGCTTTCGACAACATAA